AGAGTAACTAGGAAAAAACAAACAACCAACAACCCTCCTCTTGCAGACTTGATGGTTTTAGGAGACCATGACAATTATGATCTATGGGTTTTCTGAGGAACACGTCATCTTCATAGTCTACAGCTTAGACTGCAAGTTCCAGCTTCAGCAAAACTAATGTAAGCGTGCACTTTCACTAGATGGATTCCATGAGCCCAGCGGGACTTATTTCAGACTGATTTTTCGCAAGGCCATTAACAACACCAGTGTTTTAAGATAACGTATCTTTTGCTGCAATGTGGTGTAATAGCTGACTGCAGGTGATGTTTCATCCAAATAGTACCAATGTTCTCAAAACATCTAACTTCCATTGAACTCAAAGGAACAGATCCATGTTCTACAGCTTGAGAAATGTGTCAGGACATCAGGAATATATAAATGCTAACAAGAGAAAATGGGAAACTATTGAGAGCAAAAACAGCTGAATAGCTGATGCTGCTGGACCTCATCCATGGAGCTCTCACAATAGAAAGCCAGCTACTACAGAGAGCAAAGCACATTTGTACTGAGTTATTATTTCAATGAAAGATTATTCAGTGTGTAAAAGATCGATTTTTTTCACAATGTTATAGTTCTAATTCATTTCTAAGTCATTTTGATTGACATCTGAAAAGTGCAAGTACGACGGTTTCTAAGTAATGATTTTTGCCTCAGTGTTACGACTTGCAGAATCTTTGATCAACTCACTCGTCATCATCAATCATACAAACAATGAGAGGATGAACCATCTGAATCACCCAAAGGACTAATAAGAGGCACAGAAAAATCTGTTAGCTCAGTGAATGTACCCTCCTATATGGGCTGCTAGTTCCGTTACAAAGACATGCAAGAGAGTACACAGAAGGCAGCGTCGAACACACTTGATGTTTCATGTCACTAAATCAGGAGTAAAGAAAAAAGAAAATTTAACAAAATAAACAGAAACACAACACTTCTTTGGAAAGTTCTCTAATAGCAGGAGTGTATTAGTCCCCAAAACTGAAATGGCAGAGTTGCACTACAGTAATCTCTCTGTAGCTGTGAAAAAGCCAAACGGGATCCACAGACCTTTGTCCCTCAGCAAAGCCAACTGAAAGCTCTGCACTAAATCTTGCATGGGAGGTACAGAGTGATCAGCAAAGCCATGACACCACTGGACTTCAACAATGGCTTAATCCCTGTCATCTCACCTAGATGGTCTGTTATGACAGAAAGCTTTGAAAACAAAGAACAGAAAAGTTGGCAGTGAACTAGCTGGAGCTTTCAAAAATACAGAAGGCCCTTTTCCCAAATGTAAGTAGCTGTCAGAGTGAGATGTAAATGTTTGTAGCCTAAGATACACCTCTCGACAAACATAAAAAAAAACACCTTAGTTTTAACGCAGGCTCAAGAATTCTGGCATAGCAGTGTGGTCTGAAAAGTCAATTAAAAGGAGGCTGTTTCTTATGCACAAAAAAAATGAACGATGTAATAACTGATTAGGTATCAGTTCTGCAGAAATGAGATGCAGTTCTGTCTTCATGAGAAGAACGCAAGACAAGAGTGTCACATGCTGTGGAAAATTCTTGTCCTGGGCAAACAGTGGAGCCTGCTAGAATCCTTCTATTCAGCCCCGGAGAGGCCTCAGTGGGAGTACTGCTTCCAGTTTTTGATCACCACACTTCAAAATAGATGTGAACCAACTGGAAGAGTCCAGAGGAGAGCAATGAGAATGATCAGAGGTTTAGAAAACATGATCTATGAGGAAAGATTGCAAGAAATGGGGTTGTTTAGTCTGGAGAAGATAAGACAGAAGAGGCAGATAAGCCTTAAAATATGTAAGAGGCTGCTACAAAGGGATACTCTGATTTCCATGTTCATGACAGATAGGAAAAACAAACAAACGAGCTTAAATCACACCAGCGATTCAGGAAAAAAGTGATTTGAAGAAAAGCTAAAGCAGCACTGACACAGTCCGCACAGGCTGAGGACCTCCCTGGAGGTTCTGAAGAACAAACTAGACATTTGTCTGCAGCAAACGAAGACACACTGATGCTGCCTTTGAACCAACTGATGAACAACGTGACCTCGGGTTCCCTTCAAGCCTGTTTCTTCCTGATTGGATCGTTATGCAACTGTTATTTTTAGATAGGCTACAATGAAGGGATCATGATGATGTTAAAACTGGAAAACCCAAGTAAGTCCTCCTCAGGATGACAGAATCACAAGGAGATGCCAAAAGGCTGTACTAAATTGTGCCTTTTTACAACTTATTAATGCTTCTGCACAGCTTGAAAGCGCCTGGGTGCTTCCTCAGTGCTGCCACAGGAGATTGGATTTGGGAACCTCTGCGCGAGGTGCAGATGCAGAGGGAGACTTTGCTACTCCAGCAGCTGCTGAAACTCTGCAGAAAAAGTAACACTTTGACCAAAGCCGCCCACGCGCGCAGCTCTCCGGGGAACGCCGGACGTCAGGACAGTGCGCCGTGACGTCAAACCGCAGGGGGACGGCCCGGCACCT